GAACATATGTACCAAATATGCCAAAGATGTCTACAAAATTATCTCAGTTATTATTAAAAAACTGATTATTTTTGAAAATTTTGCCACCCTGTATCTCAAAAGTTAAGGCGTTTAGGACATACGTCTATTGGAAGTTTTTTTCTTAAAATGGGTCTAAGAATGACCTCCTTGAATATTAGCATGTGTTTAAGGAACACCCTGTATATTGCAGAAGAAGAACACCGAAAACGATAAATTATAACAATATAAGAAGAAGAATTAATTTCAAGGAGAACTAATGACAAATGACGTTGATTTTTTGATAACGAATCGTTGCAGTTTTCATCCTTGATTTCATTAACGAATTTCTCAAATAAATTTAGGAAGATTGCGTTTTTCATTTCTTCTTTTTTTTACTGAAACTTACCAAGAAGTAAGCCGTATTTCGATTCGATGAAACATTTCCTTGAAAGTGGGGTTCCCAGAGTGTTTCCTATCATCAGAAAACCTGCTATCATGGCACTTTGATCGATGGAAATCGGGATGACGGAATCTGGTTTCAGCAGGATAGGGTTCGTTGGGGAGGGCCATCCCAACATGAGTCCGAACGGCAGGCAAGACAAAGATGCTGAAAAAAAGGTTTCCATTTTAAGTATCCTCAAGAGAAAAATCCAGGATTGGGAGATCTGGAGATCTTGGGGGCCACTTCTATTTGTCAGGAAGTTCTGTGGTACTAAATATTACATCATGTTTCATATTTTTTTTCTACTTCTGACCAAACACCATTTGGAATATGTTTGCCATGTCAAGGTGGATATATACTTTTCCACAGAACATTAATCCAAGTAACATATTTCGCAGTTTGTTATAGACTCTCCAAAACTAAACTGCTACGATGTTTCTTCTGCTATTGGTATTGCAAAGATATCAAAACCGTCTTTCTGCGACCAGATTATTATTCAGTTGCAATACATTTTCTCCCGGAGAAAAATGACAAGCAGCATTTTACAGTTATATTAGGCTGAGTGAGATACTGTTGAATTTTCTAATGCGTTTGATTTCAAATTGGATGCATTTTTTTCATAATTGGCTAGTATAAAGTGTGAAAAAAAGTGGTCCCAGAACTGAGCCCTGAGGTACTCCCAAGATGACATTTCTAGCTGCAGATAATTGATTTCCCAATTTGACGCTTTGTCTACGATTGTTGAGATATGATTGACAAAGCTGCAGTGATTCCGTACAGACTCCACTTGTTTTCAAGATCTTTAGTTTTAGATAAGCCCGTCAAGATGTTTATAGGCCTAAGGTCAGGTTCAACTTTGATTTCTTCGACTGTAGATTCAATGTTTGGAATACTAACTTTCAGAAAATATTCAGAATTACTTCTTTAAATACAAAAAAGATATAATGAAAAAATCAGGTATATATAGAATAGAGTGTGGCGAATGCTCTGCAGTATAAACAGGCCAAACCGGTAGAAATTTTGACATAAAGCTCCGTGAACACGTCTGTTTGAACACAAAATCTACAATGTATGAACATCTGCAAGAATCAAGTAAGTAAAGATAATCTCAAAATCCCGCGCACATGTTATAAAGGGAAGAAAATGAATTTGTTGGAAGCCATGGAAATTATTGAATCAATTAACAACCCAAAACATATACTCCTAAACGAGAAACTCGATTTATGTAGGTCTTCACTCTTGAATTTATAAGTTTGACAACTCCGGTAATTTCTATAATCTCCAGTGTTGAATTTTACAGTTGGCACCCTTGTTCTTTAACTACCTTCCCTTCCAGCATGTGGACCTACTTTAAGGTTTGCGACAGAGTGTGTGTTCCATGGCTAGGCTGTTTTAGAACTGGCTTATGGAAGTCAAGATTTTTGAATAAAATAATGTCCTGAAGAATGCGTGTTTATTGCCAAATAAATGAAAATACACAGCACAACTTACCTACAAACTCCCTATTAAACCTCGTTTTCAGAAATCAAATGTATGAGTTAGTTTTATAGTTGATGGTGGGATAAAACCCGAAACCGACCGTAAAAATAAAATAACTAGTGGAAATTAGACAAAAGTGTTTTCATTCATTTCATTAAAGTGATCATAAATTTCCACAAAATAAGTGATCAATTTCACAGATGAAATAACAATAATCGTTTATTATTAGAGATGAACTGTCAATAATTTTAAAACATTTGTGATTGGTTGAGTAAAAATAAAAGTTTCTGTCCATTTTGCGAGAGTAGTCGTTTTCTTACGAACTGCTTCTTCCAGGAGGGAACTTTTTACATCCGTACTGTATGTTTCCGAACGTGCTCACAGTTATCAATCAAGCTAATTTATGACATATTATTCATGTCGTGAGAGATAAAATACAATATTGACTTGGTATAAATACCAAACTGACACTGAAAAAAATTCTCATAGACATCCTTTGTTATATTTGATAAATAAATCTAAATGGATTTATTGAACCTTTCAAATTATATCAATGATATTCTACTGAACTTTAATCGGAAATGGTATGTCAAGCGAATGGAATTGTTTATACGAGTTGACGAATACAACGAAGTTGACGAACCACAAAATGACTATTTCTGATGCACGAAATAGAACATAATATGGCATATTAGAGAAGAATACAATGAATAGCACGCGCTTTTTTGGTCTTGGCTCATTGGACGGTTTTTTGGACAAAATTCGGCAGTTTTTGAAAGAACTTCGCTGCCACATGCTGCCTCCACTAGAGGCACATGAAAATTGTCTAACGATTTTTGATATAGTTATTCAACCTCATTTTGATTTCTGTGGAATTGTTTTTCATTTCCTTCATCAAATAAAATGTCATGTTTACAGAAATTTCAGAATCGAAGAATGAGTATAATCTTGAAATGTAGTCGGTAGACAAATATTACTTTATCTTAGACCCATTATAATGGTTATCAGTATCTGGAAGATCATACTTGACAGGTATGCTTTGCATTTTCAAAGTTTCAATTTGCTGCTAAAATACTCATGAAATATTGCAAATCTCATAATCATCAAACAAGAAATTCACCACAATAACATCTCCTATTGAAATACAATTCAACGGGATCGAAAGAATACAAATATCTACCTAAGCCACAGTTTTTATCACCCTTTTTTTGGTACTTTAACCTCGCACTCTGATTTCCTAGACAAAAATAACCTTCGTTCAATACCCAGTCAGATGAAAGATACAAACAGGATCAATAAACGCGAAACTATTCTGGATATTCTCAATAAGATCAGCCATTAATACTTTATCCATCATTATTATCTTGGGAAAGAAATGTTTGGCTTTCTACATCTCCATCGTTATACAAAAAAATGTGGGAAACTTCTAAAGTATGGAAGTAAGCAATTAATTTCAAAATAAACTCTTTAAATAGATGTACGGAAAAACAATGATGAAAAGGTAATTTTCATATGTAAACGCACCCTTTTTATAACCAGGGGGCGCCCCAGTTCAAAAATCCTTTCCTATTGCACATCAACAACATAAAACGAACCTACATACAAAGTTTCAGCCTCCGAAAATATAGCGGTACAGACAAACAGTGATGAAAAGATAATTTTCATATGTAAACGCGCCCCTTTTATCTCCAGGGATGCTCTTCAGTTGGAATATTTGGAAATCATTTCTTATTGCACATCAACAACATAAAAGGAACCTACATACAAAATTTCAGACTCATAAAATTTCAGCATCATAAATAGCATAAAATCAAAAGCATATGGCGTAGATGAAATCAATATAACTATTATAAAATAATAAGTCAAAGTTATTTTCCTGATGCATAGAAATGTATCAATCCAAAGAAATCAGTAGCTATTGTTTTGGGAAGTGATAGCAACAGGGAAGAAGTAAAAAACTACAGCTTGAAAATGGGAAACTCTGAGATGCAATTTAGACCGTATTCAAAAAATTTGGGGTTGATTTTAGATCATAAACTAATATTTCATGAACATATAACCTACAAACTTAAAATTGCTGTACATTCCTGTAGATAAAAAGGAACTAATCAAATGATCTTTTTCCTATAATATCTCCTCCACAATAAATTATCTCCATAAACGGGAAAACAATTGTTTTAACATGTCAGAAACTGTTTTTGAAAGTAGGTTCAAACTAGCATCTGTTCAGCATTCAGAATAACTAGATCCGCGGCGAGAATCCTGAGAAAGGTATTAGCTATTCATATTACCTTCTCTTTTCTTTCCTTTCTTTCTGCTTTTCTTTCCTTCAAGCCGTCATTTATTTATTTTTTTTTCGGTATCGGTGGAAGAGCAGATGCGAATGCAAATTCGCGATCTGAACCAAAAGCCATTTGCAATCAAATACAAAGCGTTTTTACTTTTCTCTCTCTTGAATTTTGTTTTTCGTTATTATCTTGTTATTTTGATTGGCAATAAACTTATTATTATTATTGCACATCTACAACATGAAAACAACCTACAACAAAATTTCAGCCTCCGAAAACATAGCGATACGGAAGAACAGTGATGAAAAGGTAATTTTCATATATAAACGCGACCCTTTTATTCACAGAGAAGCACCCCAGTTGGAATTCAAATTTAATAATTTCACGTTAGCCAGAAAAACAACAAAAAACTAACTAGTATTCACAAAACCTGACTTCGAAGCAATAACCTTTATATTCGAATCATTATTTTTCAATTGTTTGATCTTTCATCTAGAATTATTAAAAAAAACAAATGTAAGTTTGTAACAGAAATCATACGAGGCTTGTGAAAAAGAGCATCAATCCGAAATCCAACCGAAAAAAACTAAATCCAACTCTAACTCGCGTAAAAAAAAAAACAAAAAATCTCACCGCACGCCACCGGCAAGACCTGCCAGAGCTTCGTCCTTAACCCTGAAGCCTCGCGGCCGAGCATCTTCTTCTCCTGATCGGAACCAAAAACATAAGTGACTGCCTCGATTTTGGCCCCCATCCCTATTTTATCATCCGCCTCCATCGTAAACTGATCAAATATTTAACTTCGGTGTCGAAATGTAGCCCACAACTGTCATCGAGGAAATTTTTGTTATCGGCAGGCGTTTGTCCTGCAAAAAGAAAATTCTAAAGTACGGGTAAGTTTTTGGTTTGTCTCTTCCCTGCCATCGTCGTTTTGTCGAATTTATTTGATTGTTCAAAACTCGTGATATCAATTAAATTGTTCGTCATGAATAGCGAGTTACAGAGTAGGGATTAGAGGATTTACCGAAATATATCATAAGCGCTCTGAGGCTCGAAGGATACTGTTTAAGACAAGCCCCATTATCTTCCTTCTTCAGAAGGCTATAAAAATGCCCTTTGAAGAAGAGCCAGTTATTACTTATTGAGGTACGCAGATGAAACTTTTCTAGTATAGGATCATGGAAAAACACCATGCGATTAAAACAAAATGAATTATTCATGCAGTATCTGCAACACGAAAAACTTCAACGAAGAACTGAATTACATCAAGAAAGATATTCGGCAGAATGAGTACTTCAATAAGCTGCTAGATCAAACAATAATCAGGGGTCTACACAGGACCAGAACCAGTACTATCTCTTTCTTATGTAAAAGAGCTACCAACCTTGAGATGAGAAACATCAAAAACTCCCCCAGATTCACCTACACAGTTCAAATGTAAACAGTCTCTCCAAGACTTACGTCCAAGAAGTCCTTGTGAACAGGACTAATTCTACATTGATTGTGGGTCCGGTTTTACAACATTATGAGGACCGAATTAAAAATCATCCATGGTGTCATGCTCATTGCTCTTACCAAAAGCCCGAAGAATAAGCCACACATAAACCCAACAGCAACACTACCAGTACCAGTCAATCTAGACGTATGGAAATCTTCAACATTCGAAAATCATTGTGGGTACTGACCATGTTGAAGTAACTACGTTTCAAACCTGTTGATTTAATTAGACAATGGTAAATTTTATGAAGCAATATCTTCGAGGGCTTGGTGTTTTTTAATGTTCTATATTTCATACTTCAATGGAATGCAATCATCTTCCCTACTTTGTGGAATCTGGAATAGATAATTAACGTTCCCTTTTGTGATTTATGCCGATTTTCGTTATCTTTTCTTTTGTTATGGGGTCTAGAATGGTATTTTTCAAGGAAAGGATATCTTCAGAACCTCAATTATTTCGATCGACTTCACTTCGAGAACATCCAAAATCGTTTTGTCGACTTTTAATGCTTTCGTCGGTAACCGCCACTTTTCAACGGTTGATTGGTTTCATCAGTATTTGTTTTCGCCAAAAAGCAACGCTTTATTAACAACCGACATTCCTTATCCATTTTTTTCAAAATGACAAAAGTTGATTCACACAAAATGTTCTATTTCACAAACTAATAATCCGATAACTGTGAAACTTGTATACGTGTTGGGTTAGGGTTAGGGTTAACTAAAAATCATATGGATTTGATACTAGTGGCGTCATCTTTGTGTTAGTCTACGAACTTTCCAACCCACATAATGTATAAAACCCTGCATATTTTTTTTTTTTTTCGATATGTCTTTATGCCAAGACACTGTTGGGTTACGGACTGGCCCAAATGGTTTCAACTCAAGCCTTCTACAAGACAATGATGAAGAAAACAACGAAAATTTTAAAGCAACAACAGTTCCTACTAAGTAATTTTTCGGTGTGTTTGGATACATATCTAGAAGCATTTGAAATAATAATATATTCAATGAAGACATGCTGAAATTTGAATAACATTAATGTTTTTGCTTTTAGGTCGTTGGTCTGATAATTTTATCGAATCGTGTTTAGTCTAACAATCTCAGAACGACCCAAACCATTTTTATGGTGTAATTTTTCAAAGAAATCAATTCTGGCTTGATTTATGTGAAATCTTGTTGACACGAAATTCGAAAAATGATCATATTTTTGCAGTTATCGTTATCGCTTCATTGTCTTTCAGCTTGTGTTTATTTTATTTCACCTCGAAGCTAGTATTTTTTGATGGAATAGAAAAAGAAAAAAAACTCTCGACGTTCCGATTGAAGTTACCAGTTCATTGGAAATCGTAGTAAATAACAGAAGAATCGTAGAGTCCTGTCCTGGCGAAACATTTGATCTTTGTATAATTAAACAGAGTGCAAACATTCAAATTGACTTAATTCGGTGTCAGTTTAAAACGAAATATTGAAGATATATTTGCACATACATTTGTAAAAGTAATAACAGCGACATTTGCACAGAACTGAGCTTCGAGTAGAAATAACACTAAAAAAATTTGTAAAATGATAAGATGAAAGTGAATGGTATGCGAATTGAACGTTTCATACACCATATCCGGTGCTATTTCTCAGAAAAGATTCACTCTGAATATTTTTATCAATTCAACGAAATTGCTTTAACGTCACAAAGACGATAAAACCGCTGGTTCCGCTGTCAAAAAACACTGATTAGTTTTTGTCTTATAGATTGGTGAGTAGTGAACAAGAAATTTGAGTAACGATTGAAAACTACACTTTTTTTAAGACTACTTTTATACGGGGTATTTCTTGAGAAAATACAAACATTTAAAGAAAAATAGACTTCATTTGAGCATACCTCAAAACAGTATTAAACTTAATTTGGTATGACAATAGAAATGAGTGTTTTTTATTCTTGCCAGTGGCGTCCGAGTGAGATTTGCCCTGAATCATTTTGGAGAGGAAATTGTTGAGCTGATTTGCCTCAAAGTAAAAATGAGCATTTGTGAACTCGATGTGAGATTTGCCCAAAGCTGGCCTTTTGGCCGAGTTTGGATAGGTTAGAGCCATAATAAACCCTTACGGCTTGCAGAGGTCAGTCTAATAGACCAATCATTTCAATAATTGTATATCTTTATTTGAAATAGGAAACCTAATATACATATCTATGAGTTTAATAATAACACTAGCACAAGGAAGTATAAAAAATACAAATATAGGTATCATATGTTGATTTGAAGTAACATTTAAATAGATAATGAAATATAGGTACTCGAAAAATAACAAACAAAAATAACAAGGTCATACGTTAAGAACGTGTACATGTATACATTAAATTATTATTAAAACAGTGATATTTGCTTTCATTACAGATACAAATACCCCAATTAAAAACAATAGATGATTGCCAATAACGTCCCAAATAATTCTACATAATTATGAATGTTTTTATTGAATTTGATGTACTCTTCAAAATATTCTGGCCATTCCGTTTCCAATTTTGTATACTACAGTCATTGTAACTAACCTGTAGATCGACCGTCAAGACTTTCGTGAAACATCCTGTATTGTTGGAAATAAAATCAACTGTTCAGTAGATGAAGTAGAATTTGTATCATCCTGTATAATGTATTGATTGGTAGCTATTAGCCTATCATTTCAATTTAACGGTTATACATTGTAGGGATTTATAATCGTTAAACTCGTTTTGCTGCTGCAAATTAGCATTCAGAAACGTTCGAGATTGGAAATTACCGATGAAGTAAAACCATTTTTCGTCTACTACTGTTCTAATATTTAAGTTATGGACGATAAATAATACGCAGAAATGGAATTTCTTTTTTGTAATAGATAAGACAAATTTGGGAAAAACTCTTCTAGACGCATGCTTTGTCAATCAAATTTCCATCATCGGAGTGTTTATTAGAGCACACTTTTTCGAGTAAAAAAGTAACACTTCCTCAACAAGGCTAGTGGTGATCGTTTTCGATCACCACTGTTCTGTGGATATACCTACTTGATAAAAATCCAATCAAAAAATCAATTCTCAACAAAATCTAGAGGGGGATATTATAAATTATTCGAGAAAACTTCCCGCAGAGTAATTTATGGGAGTAGAAGATTTAGCATAATTATTATCCATGTCAGTAACACTCGAGCTACGAATAAATAATATTCTCTGTTCATTATTTACGATTTTTACTAATCCCGAGTTGGTAGCTTATATAAAGCTAATACGCTGAAGCTATTTTCAACACTTTATGAGTGATAAAAATACCGCAAATTGTTTTTGATTCTAATCGCATTGATGTGTTTCAGTCGTAACATGGTAGCTAATTACAAGTTTTGTTTGTCTTTAGGAACTGTCGCTCTGATTTCTGTGTCTATATATCTCTGTAAATTTTATTGCCAGTAGTCAAACACCCCTTCCTAGCGAAACTTCTGAACTAAGTACATGGTAAACATTTATTACTATGAAGTTACCATAGAATCAGTAGCGTATCAAGGGGAGGGGCTTCTGAGATATCAAAAAATCCGAGGGCACGGTAGAAAAAAAAGGGGGATTAGAAAAAGGAAGAGATGATGACAGATGAGACTATATACTTTTGATTTTTAGTGTATCCGAGGTTCTTGATTGATCTTCTTTTTCTTGGTATGTCTATCGCTATTACGGTGTTGCCATTTTCAGCACTGAGTTGAAACGGTACAGATTATGGAAAATAACAGAACTTTATCTCAGTTCTAATATGAAAATGATGATTGATGGTAAACATTTTTAACTATGAACTTGCCCTACAATCAGTAGCGTAGGAAGAGAGGGGAGCCTTCTTAGACATAAAAAAATTCGAGGGCACGGTAGAAAAAAAGGGGGGAATAGAAAAAGGAGGAGAAAATGAGAATAAATACTTTGATTTCTAGTATATTCGAGGTTCTTGATTGATCTTTTATTTCTTGGTCTGTCTATCGCTATTGCGGTGTTGCCATTTTCATAGCACTGAGTTAAAACGGTGCAGATTATTCTAATATGAAATAGATAATCGATGGTAAACATTTTTTACTATGAACTTGCCCTAAAACCATAGTAGCATACCTAGAGAGGGGTGGGCTTCTTAGACTTCAAAAAATCCGAGGGCACGGTAGAAAAAAAAAGGGGGAATAGAAAAAGGAGGAGAAAATGAGAAATGAGACTAAATACTTTGATTTTTAGTATATCCGAGGTTCCTGATTGATCTTTTTTTCTTGGTCTGTCTATCGCCATTGCGGTGTTGCCATTTTCATAACACTGAGTTAAAACAGTGCTGATTATGAGAAATATCAGGAATTTGTCTCAATTCTACTATGAAAATGATAATCGATGGTAAACATTTTTCACTATGAACTTGCCCTATAATTTGCCCTATTATCTGTTAGTTGATTAAAATAATAATAAATTTTTCTTTTGCTTTCATTTATATTCCAAAAATAATAAATCCGCACCTGGAGAGCACTTTCTCCAGAAAACTAATTTTAACAATTCTAAAATTGATCCTCCAGGTAAACGATATTGTGTTTTCCCAGATATATCGAAATAACACTTTGAACCTCAATAATATCACCAGCAGGTAATACATACTGGACATGTATTGAAGTTAATCATTTTACAACTTTCTGGAGTCATGAAAAAAACATAATTATCAAACATCACCTACATATCACTGGCAAATGTTTCAATAATTAACAAAAATTCATCAATGTAGAAGTGGACTAATGTGAATTAAAAACAACCGTAATAAAATACAAAAGGAGAGAGTTGTCTCTGTAGCACTCCACTAGTGTCTGAGAATAGTTAGAAATTTTAATCGATACTTACAGTTACAATAATATTTCCAATATCACTCAGAGAAATGTATCTTCTTTGTGTTGAATGTTCGTCTACTACTTCCAGGTTTCTATAAAAATGATTATACCAAACACTGTGAAATCAGCACTTATTGACGAAGTCACTGACCCAATTACGACCAATCCGTCTCAATACATTACCAGCGACTCATCAAGAAACGTCTCTTTATTACCTAACTCCCTGGAGACAATGTTCTTCTGCGGAAAGGTCAGGTAAGTGCAACGACTAATGCGAATCAAACCATCCCCCACCCTTTATTCTGTGTGGTGCCACTGTAGACTTGGATTTATATAACTGGTTACCAAATATGTTTGGAACCGTTAGGTAGAGAATTATATTCCAAACACAAAGACAACTCCGATTACCTCGTAGGTATGCTTGAGGACATTTTGTATTACCGAAGAATAATCTGAACATCCTGTTCCAAGAACATGAGTCAGAGTCAGAAATGCTCTATTGTCATAAAAGTTTAGGTTTTCTTGACAAAGCAGGCTTAAGAACTCAAATAATCCAATATTTAACAGTAAAATAAAGGTTAAGAATTAACACAAAATATAGATACAGCGCATTCTTTAATGCCCCTCCCCTTTCATGTTTTGAACGGGTCAACTAAAAATATTGTAATTTGGGATAATGAAATTAATGCATAAAGACTTTATTTTGAAGTGAAATTGACAGATGAATCTTTCAAGATGGCAACTGAGCGCCTGACGAATGTACATTTTTTTAAACGGCAATATTGCAAAATTGCCGTTATTGGAGTGTCTCCAACGCTCACGTTTTCCTGGAAACACATATACCCAATATCCAGAAAAAATTAACGTTTGGGCAGGAATATTGGGAAACCATACTGTTTGACCTCTATTTATTGATCAAAATTTAACGAGGAACTGTATTTCAATATGTTGGAAACTACTGTGGATCCTCTGTGGATATGGGTATTGTATTCCAACAAGATGGAGCACCACCACATTACTCCATAAAATAAGAAACTATTTGGGTACTACTTTTCCCGGTCGTTGGATTGGCCGTCGAGGTCCTACAGAATGGCCAGCCCGCTCGCCAGATTTGACACCTTTGGACTTTTTTCATGGGGCTATTTGAAGCAAAAGGTGTACGAAACTGAACCTGCTTCAATATTGGATAAACGGCAGAGAATAATAAATACAGTATGTCTCACTTCTCATGGAAACACCCCCGTATATCTTCCGTAATATTCGAGGTAAAACGATGAAACTCTCAGGACTGATGGAAATGCTCAAAATGCACCCACCACCTGAATGGGGTTGACCAAAGTGATATACACTGTCCGCCACTCGCGATGGAACACCCCATTTTTACGGTAAAACATATTAGGGGGCAAAATAGGCTCAAAATTCCTTCAGATTCGTGATCATGACTACCAACTTACTACGGTTACACTTTTTTCCTGAAAAAATTTCAGTACTGAAAAATCCGAATTTGTCTCACTTCTTATGGTCTGTGATAAAAAAATTTATTAGACGCGGAGTCGTCCGAAAGAAATTCCTTAGTATTATAGTAAGTTTTATCTAGCAGAAGTTTTTTTTTTATTATTTTTCGAAAACGTGCGTAGCAGGATAGAAAGAGGTTGTGAAGAATCTAGTTTTTAATTTGTGCTATTGACGGAAGATAGGAGGATAGGAAGAGGAATATTGAATGTGAGACGAGTAGAATTTGAATTTATTTTAGTTATGTTATGAAATTGTTATATGGGGTCTGTTAAAAAAATTAGGTAAATTTTCATTTTTCCCTAAAAATATTTATTCATGAAGTATAGTCCCCGTCAGATATACGATATAATACACTTCTGCCAGCGTTTTTACCAATCCTCGATGCTTTTATTCAATTTTAATCTCCTCATTCGTCACAAAACGCGTCCTTTCATGGGACTCTTCAATCTTGGGAACAGGAAAAAGCCGCAGAGGCAAATTTTTTGAGCACCTAATTCCATTTTTTACACAAAATTTCATTAGGAGAAGATGTTTTCCTTCTGAATATTTCGATATGTTCATTCCATAACAATTTCTGATCAATGATTGAACTTGTAGTTGTTTACATATATTTGATAGCATCACTACTAAACATTACCTAATTAATTGATGATTTGATAAGACAGAAAATCATCTTTAATTCATCGACAAGGACACAGTTGAAGGCTTTTCACTGTCAAAATTCTTGTGGGGACTCTACTGAGTAATTTTTTTTCACTTTCTAGCAACAATAAAGCTGAATCATCTTGACCGACTTACCATACAAAAAGTAATTTTTTCAAAGACGATTGTCAAGCCACCTTCGCATATCTTTCAGAGCAGCTTCTTTGGTTTTTACACACACTATCGCAAATACATGAAACATAACAATGTTGAGAATCGTTCAAGCAGTCATTAAAAACATTGGAATGATTATAACCTACGTGTTTTGGAATACGAATCATAACTGACAACCTTGAATTCCACGAAAATTGGACGTCGTTTTTCATATTCGTCAAAATACGTCATTTCGAAGTACTCCAAAAACTGTATCTCTAACTGAAATCTGAATAATCAGTCAATATGATAAAATTTTATCGAATAATTATTCCATTTTTCTTACTGGAAATGGACTTGTATACGATATAAGAGGTCTGTTCAAAAAATAAGGTGAATATTCAAATTTCGAGGGCATTGTTACTGTTTCAAAATCACTACCTCAATTTTTAGTAAACCCCCAGTAGACGTCTATAAAATTTCACATAGTTTATAGTATACCTATGATATAACAAAAACATTTCATTTCGTATTACGATTTATTATGACCCTGTATATGCCAGGAATATCTTCCTATCTTTGCTGAAATCGGCATATTCACAAAGTTTATTTATAAGATATCGTTTTTTTTTCAAATAGCTCATCTATCTTTTATGACAGTTTATGACATTCGACAGTTCGTCTCTTCCTTCTTTTTTTCACGCTTTATATTAGCGCTTCTCCTGTATGTATGTATGTATGTTTGTTTGTTTGTAACTCTCATGCTCGGGATCTGCATTTGACAGAATTATCGACATTATCGCTTGATCTATTCGCGGGCAGATGGCGTAACCTCCTCGATATTTCTTGATGTATTCGCGGGCATATGACGCTGTACGAAACTTTCTTGATAAGTTGTTCAAAAGAAAATGAAAATAATAAATATAGTTTAAAAAACTAAAAAACACGCTTTTAAAGAACATCGAACTAAAAAGTTAAAAAGATTTTTTTTTAATAAGCTTAAAACAATAACAACGAAAAATACTATTATTATTGTGAAAAAAAGGTGGGCGCTTTGTGCCATAATTTTTGTATATCTAGCGCACACGCTTTTTTCACAATAATACTAGTATTTTTAGATAGTTATTGTTTTGAGTTTATTTGAAAAAACATATTTTTTAACTTTTTAGTTCGATGTTTTATCGATTACCATGGCGTAGTGCATCAGGAATTATTGCCACATGTTCATACGGTTGATAAGGAGTATTATCTTGAAGTTATATACCTTTAGCGTGAAACAATACGAAGAAAACGTCTGATATTGTGGAAAAACCATTCGTGGCCATCGTATTCACCAGATTTGGCCCCTTGCGACTTTAAACTGTTTCCAAGATTAAAGAGATCAAGAAAGAACGACGTTTTGACAGTTACCCTTTCAATTAATGATCCAATTCAATATGATATTCCACAATATTCTACCCGATATTACCAATTGTTCAATATATCTTTAACAAATACGAATTACTTCATGAATTCCCTTTGTATCGCTGTCTGAAGAATTATAACTCTATTCCAAATATTATAGACATTGATATTCTTTATAATTTTTGAATAACTTTTGTGTTCAACCTAAAGAAACATGTTTTTTCCCAACTTAATTCGAACGCGTAAATTGTGGCGTACTTTTCCCAATGCTTGCAATATTTATTTTTGTTCTTTGTAATATATACAAAGTCTGTTGAAAAAATTCGTCAATTTCCATTTTGTCCCCTTCAAAGTAGTCCCCCTCAGATATAATACATTTGTGCCAAAGTTTTTCCCAATTCTCGAAGCAGTTCTTATATGCACTTTTTGGTATGTCATTGAGCTCTCTCCGTAATTCGGTTTTTATCTCCTTCGACACAAGCGTGTACCACTTAGTGGAAGTGTACTGTTTGCCAGGTTGGCCTGTACGTTTGCCACGTTGGCCTAAACGTTTGCCACGTTGGCCTAAACGTTTGCCACGTTGGCCTAAACGTTCGCCACGTTGGCCTAAACGTTTGCCACGTTGGCCTAAACGTTTGCCAGGTTGGCCTGTACGTTTGCCACGTTGGCCTAAACGTTTACCAGGTTGGCCCGTACGTTTGCCAGGTTGGTCCATACTGTTTGCCTGGTTGGCCTGTATGTTTGCCGGGTTGACATGTATCGCTTGCCAGGTTGGCCTGTAAGTTTGCTAAGTTGGCCTGTACATTTGACAGGTTGGTCCGTACTATTTGCCGGGTTGTTCTATACCGCTTGCCAGGTTGGCCTACAAGTTTGCCAGCTTGGCCTATACATTTGCCAGGTTGGCCTATACGTTTGCTAGGTTGGCCTGTACGTTTGCCAGGTTGGTCCGTACGGTTTGCCAGAGTGGCCTGTACATTTGGCAGGTTGGTCCGTGCTATTTTCCGGGTTGTCCTGTACCGCTTGCCAGGTTGGCCTACAAATTTGCCAGCTTGACCTATACATTTGCCAGATTGGCCTATACGTTTGCTAGGTTGGCCTATACGTTTGCTAGGTTGGCCTATACGTTTGCCAGGTTGGTCCGTACGGTTTGCCAGGTTGGGCCGTACGTTTGCCAGGTTGGCCTGTACATTTGATAGGTTGGTCCGTACTATTTGCCGTGTTGGCCTGTACCGCTTGCCAGGTTGGCCTACAAGTTTGCCAGGTTGGCCTATACGTTTGCCAGGTTGACCTGTACTATTGACAGATTGGTCCGCAATGTTTATCAGGTTGGCCTGTACCGCTTGCCAGGTTGTTTCACCTTCCGGTGTGCGTTCGGAGAGTTCCCCGATAATTATTGGAGTTACACAGGGATCCATTCCGGGACCTGTATTATTTTTTTATCAACGACCAAAATATTTGGAAAGCGTCTCAGTGGCATTAAACTCGTATACCAGACGATACGGCAATATTAAATGTGATTCAAGATCGCTCAGATCTATCAATCAAAAGTGAACAAAGAATCTAGTAAATTTCTGGTCGGTTTGCTGTAAGTAATTGAAAAGTAAATAACAATAAAAAATCACTTGGTTTTTATAAATCAGGGCACAGCAGCATCTTGAACTACCACTTTGACATGAAACTCAATTGGAGAAAGCATATCAGTCATGTAGCATATGAATTGAATACAGTTGTATATCAAATTGGAAAACACTACTCAAAATGTGCCAAAAACTTTTTATTACAGTAATTTTTATTCTACTTTATCTCACGGTCCTTTACTCTGGGAAAGAAAATCCAAAATACAAAAGAATTTCTTCCGGATTTAGGGCAAGTGGCAAATCACTGCAAACTACCTTCAAATTCATCTTATCATTCATACAATACAGGAGGAACAAAAAAATCATTGACTATTCTGTATCACAAATTGAACAGAACTCAGTAACCAATCAGTCATCGATTGTAGCATAAAAACAAATTGATTCACGACAATTGATTTCGAAGAGCTTCACTGCAATTTTTTTATTCAGTTCTGTCCCCCGACATCTTGGCGTTGGTTGATGTGACACAAACCAAAAGTTTTTAGCCCTGTCACAGATTAAGTACTTAATCTGTGGCCCTGTATGTGGAAAAAAGAAGAAGAAATTGAAGAGGTACATACCTTCGTTGAAGTGTGAGTTTTTATTACTTAATTATCACTTTGTGGCAAGAAATTCCATAAATTCACCCCAAAAGTTGATACTTTTGCAATTTTCTTTATTTCGTGACGGCTATTAATGGATACAAATATAATAAATATCGAGGACCCAGTGTTCTACCTGGTGTGTGTACGTTTTTCCCGGGTATTCCCTCTGCAACCGGAAATACTTAGAACGTTTCTTAGAGAACGACGGACCAAATTTATTACGTTGTTCTTATCAAGTTTAGAAATGCTCTCAACGTTGATTGATATCAGTAGATGAATTATGCAAGAGAATTAACGTCACAATCTAACTATTTGAAAATGAATGTAATTAGACGCGGCTTAATTTTTTGCTTTTGACGTAATTCAACATCCAGCTCAATTATGATGGATAACTGGTGTGAATTGTTGAAATGCAGTGAGAGATCATTATAAATGATGCTTTTTTAATTGTCAATAGAATATGGTTTCATGGATAAGTTTGACAAAATGTATCGAGGCGTCCCAAACGCCAAGTAAGCAGCTGTTTTCAGCATTAAATATGAACGATATAGAGCACGCTTACCAATTCCCAGCTGTGTTTTATTTCACCTCATTAAAAACTTGAATATTCTCACACGCGAATATTACTAACTGTCCTCAAGTGAGAGAAACCCGTTTTTTAATCACTCTACTTTCATCTCGACTACGTATCACTCTTCGATGTAACTAGACGCATTGTACTTTTTTCTCGAGATAATACAGGGCGGTTTGCCAAAATTATTTGAGTTTTTGTCATCGTAGACAAAGCTTGACTGGGTTAACATTTAAAAGGAATTTCTTTACTGATTTTCCTCCTACAACATAAATAAGTCAGGAGCCAAATTAGTTTCAATTCAATGTCCACCCTAAATTCACAGAAACGGGGTAAATTGAAATGTAAAAAGTAATCTTAAAAGGTCTTCCTGAGAAATATTTTTTGTTAATTGACGGTTTTATTTCATTCTGAAACAGAAAAATATAAATACTATTTCTAAATATGTAAAATTCTTGAACGTGCACTGCATATGTAAGGATATTCGATCCTTGGTATTTACCGTGACCCCACTCTCCAAAACATGAACTTTTAATTTATGATTTTTAACGTGTCAGCACCATCTCTTACTGAAAATTGGGATTTCATTTTGAATCAACGATTTGTTCCACAGGTTTCGCTAATGTCCAAATCTATTGTTTTAGTTCCACCTTTCACTGCAGTGCGTTAGTAACTTCACTTATTCTATCGTCAACGAGATGGCGCTACCTGGTTTTTATGGTTTGTGTTCGATTTAGGTTTGTTCGGATGTAAGGTTTCAGATTTGACCACTGTGGTTCCTCAGAACACATCCGTGCTTTAAATTATTTCCTAGGAATGTTTGTTTTTGAATTGCATGCACAAGAAACCGAAACACAATGAGTTTGTTAATTAAATTCAAATAAAAATATAATTCTGGGGCGAAATAGTAGTTTTCAATAAGGATGGGGGGGTTCTGACACGGTCTGATATTTTCCACTAATTCAAACAGTCAGAAAACAGTCGCTCAACCGAACACTGAACATAGTATTCCATGAATCTTCTTACTCCATAACTGAGCAAATTATTATTGACTGTTTAAGTACAAGAAGGCATTAAGGAACTATTCGAGATTCCACTCAGAACTCTAGAAAGGAGTTTGCCTATTCCACAGCAGTGTACAGTGTACATTAATGATCTTCCCTCTCATATATCAGAGGGTAGACTATTCATGTATGCTGATGACTGGGAAGTTTATCCAGATGCGACATCTACTGAACATATTGAAACTAAGCCAGATGGTAAAACAACAACTAAGTTTGTTGTGCTTCTTGAACATCGAAGTAATTTATTTTACCTATTCATTAGTTTCTTACGCTGATAATAAACGCACTAACAGACATTTTTGAAATCAAATAAGTCACAGAAAATGCGAATATTCGGATAAACATTCAGAGAAACATTACACAATTAGAGAGAAAAGCGACGCCTTTTTTCCGGAAAAGGGCCATAAGTGTAGAAGAGAATAAGGAACTTATAGACATTATTTTTATAACCACAATTTACGGAAAATTTAAATTTCAGAGTCCTGTAACAATTTTCCTTTACCTTCTTTTGTGTTTGTTAAATACTTACTAATTTTCCAAACCCTCAATAGCTAGTTAGACGCTGAGGAAAAACTAATAAAAGAAAAGAATTGAAAAAGTTCAACAAATTTGGTGAAGAAGAGACTAAGGGGTTGACAATCTCCCATCAAACAAGAAGAGCAAAATGCAAACCTTTTTGTCGAAGCTGGGTCATGACCTAGAAGCCAAACTCAAAATCCAAGAAGAATAAGAAGTGTTCTGTGGTTATAAAGTTACTTCGATAACCTTAAAATTTTCTGCTAATGTACCATGTGTCGGTATATTTGAGTATGTTTATGGTATATAAATGAATCAAAGTTGAATATTGATTCTAATGCAGTTCCCTTGAATCGTTCAACGATTCACCAAGAAGAATTTTGGGAAAAAATAACATCTTCCTCATTGTGTTCACAGTCGGAGTTTGGAATATTTTCTCACAATCAGCTATATAAAAAGGAACTTTTGTTGATAAAGGTACGTCTTGCCTAGAAATACAGATAAAATTACTGGTCCTTCTTCTGTGGGTACTAGTTTCGACAACAGATTTATAAACATTCAGGTTAGTGCAATCATAACAGTTCTTCCAGGATGTCTTTCCGAGGTGGAGGAGGTGGTAGAGGCTTCGGAGGAGGTGGCAGAGGCTTCGGAGGAGGCGGCAGAGGTCGTGGAGGTGGAGGTAGGGGAGGCCGAGGAGGCTTCGGTGGCGGAGGTAGAAATTTCGACCAAGGCCCCCCGGAGCGGGTTATTTCGTTGGGATACTACGAAAAGGCGGTGCAAGACGATCTGGTTTGTAAGGTTGAAATCGAGGATGTTCCCTACTTCAACGCCCCTATTTATCTAGAGAATAAGCAGCAGATTGGGAAGATCGATGAAATTTTCGGAAATATCAGGGACTATTCCGTAACGATAAGGTTGTCTGATGATGTTAAAGCTAGCAGTTTTCAGAAAAATCAGAAGGTGGGTCTTGAATACAATGTTTTTTATTTTTTGTCAGTTGGTAGGTCATTGAGATCAATGGAGCCTTTGAAAAATACTAAATTTGTTCTCCCTTTGAAATGTGTTCTAACAATATGAAAATTGCTATTACTGTGAGTTTGGTGTTCATAGATTTCGTAATTGACCATTTGCCTGAAATAGGAAGGAGACAAAATCATTTATTATCTTATTAATATCATTGTGCAGTACCGTAATCTTTGCAACACGGCAAACACTTTAGACAAACAGTTTTGCATGCATTAGCATGTCTCACACTTTATAAAAGTTCTCATGCCTCTATTTTGCAACTTCTGCTGGTGACTAATTTTATTCAAATCCCTTGAGTACATAATTAATGAACGATATTTCCAACAACACGGTTATTCAAAAGGTAAATCCATTTGTACCAACTTTACTCTTTACAAAAAATATTTAACTAAAAATCTTGAGAGGAGACTACAAGTTGACTCAGTCTATACTGACTTTTCCAAAGCCTTCGATAGAGTTAAGTACGGCCTACTATATCTAAAATTCAAGCGCTTAGTATAGGCAGAAATGCTCTGCAAGTAATCACTAGCTTCTTAACTGGTAGAAATCTGTCTGTAAAATACGGAGATACAACATCTACGCCCATTCTGGTGCCATCTGGGGTTCCGCAGGGATCCCCTGCTGTTCAACTTGTTTGTATCGGACATAGAGTTTGTTTTCAAATATTCAGAATTTCTTGTTTGCTGATAATCTCAAACTTTATCGAGCAATTACTTACCAGGAAGATGCTAAATTAGTTCAAAAAGATCTCGAAGCCTTTTCCTGAAAAATAATTTGTTAGAGGTAAACATTGATGAGTGTCAAATCATTACGTTTGCTAAAATTAGAAGTCCAATATTCTTTAAATATACATTGATCTGGGAGTTGAATTTGATAGCGAAATCAATTTCAATCCTCAAGTATCAAAAATTGTGGCAAAAAGTCTCAAAATGCTGGGTGTTGTGTTGAGAATTTCTATTGATTTTTCAATTAAAACGAAAAAGATTTCATATTGTGCTTTCGTAAGATCCATTCTTGAATATTGTTCGATTATATGGGAACCATACTATAATGTAAATATTGATTTGATTGAGAATGTTTAAAAGAAATTCTTAAAGAATTGTGCTTTTCACTTTGGTATTCAACGAAATGAATATGAGTACAGTCAACTCTTAACCAAGTTAAATATTAAGTTATTGGAAGATAGAAGAATTTCTATGAACTTGAGTTTCCTCTTCAAATTAATAAATAGTGAGATAAACTGCCCAGAACTACTTCAACTAATAACTTTTAACATTAAACAAAAAGATACGAGAAATACTGATATTTTTCATATAAATTTTTTCCGTACAAATTATGCTTTGAACAGTCTGATGCCTCATATTTTGAAGCTGGGAAATCAATATCATAATAACTTATATCTGTTTAATGTATCACTTCAGGTCTTTAAAAATCAATTGGAAAGGCTATAGCATTTTCGAAGCTTTTCTTTAACTTACCATTTTCTTTGTAAGTACCAGATTTGTTACATCTTTTTTCTTGTAAGTACCAGAATTGTTTCATCTTTTAGTGATATAGTCACTAGACATAAGAATGTATTAATTTGAAATGAAGGGGTTATATTTTTAGGAGTGATTAATTTTTGGGAAAGAAAGTTTTCTACTACTCCATCTTGATACAAAAAAAGGATGAGAGAATTATAAAATTATAGAAAATACACACACTTCATTCATGAATTACGATTTTTAATGTCACGGAATAAGCTTGATCTGCTTATGTCATCGATGACATCGTAATGACATTCATTCACCTATTTGATTTAATCCCAGCCAAGAGGAATCTTATTTGACACTTTGCTAAATGTTTTGTAAAATTGTAAATTGTAATGTAGACATCAGACAATGAGCATTAAAAAATACTTTTTAGTTCCTCACACTTTGTTAAATATGTTTTTGTAAATTGGCTTTGCCGTTGAATAAATAAATGAACTGTAATTTTAGCAGCAGTTGGTGAATTGCATAGTTTTTTTATGGTAGAACAGCTTCAAACACGTCTCAGAATTATCAATTCGTTGTTTTTGGTCGATTGTGAGGTCCAACGGCGCCCACATTGAACAAGGCTTTCGCATACGCAAATATTCAAGCACGATATGTCCAACACGTTCCTTTGATATCTTTAGAGCCTCAGCTGTCTCCATCATCTTCACTTTGCGGTCATCCAAAATTATTTTGTGAAATTTGTTTTTGTTTGGGATGTCCTCATTTCACTTTACTCGATAAACGTAAATAAAGGCACAGCTTAACACCTAACAAAGTAGTTGTTTGAACTTAGTGAATAAATAAATCAAATTGAATAAGCAACATAATGATTGTTTGAATTTCCCATTGTATTTATTTAATTCTGTATTTTCAGTTGTTTATCGACCCGGCAAAACTTCTTCCCCTCCAAAGGTTCCTCCCGCAGCCTCCCGGTTCGGTTCAGAAAAGAGGCGGCAGGGGCGGTCGCGGAGGAGGCGGCCGAGGCGGCGGCGGTAGAGGAGGTTTCGGTGGCAGGGGAGGACGAGGTGGAGGAGGCGGCGGACGAGGAGGCTTCGGGGGTGGCAGAGGAGGTGGTTTTGGAGGCGGTGGACGCGGAGGTGGTTTCGGTGGCGGCGGACGCGGAGGTGGCGGCGATAGGAGAAGCGGTGGAGGCGGAGGATTTAACAGAAATAGTGGCGGTGGAAGTTGGGGCGGGGGTGGTGGAGGTGGGGGTAATAGGAACTGGTAGGGTTACGATTAGGGATAGTTTGAAAATTTCTTACATGTTCGCTTTAGCTGTATTGGAGTTTTTTACAAGTTTTAATAGGTACTCTTTGAGTTTGTAATTTGCGATACTTTTTATTGCCTTTTGTTCAATGATTTGGATTTTTTCAAAATTGTTTTTTGGTATGTTTCATGCCAAATGTATCTGAATGATTTTCCTGTATATATTTCCCAATCGAAACCACTGTAACGATATACAAAATTAAACTATAGTTTTTTACACCGATTGTTCTTATTTAAAATTTCACTTGTACAGCATTATAATAATAATAATAACGTCTTTATTATTTCCTCTTTCAATACATTTCAATAAAAATAATCCTTCAAAATATATTTAAGAAAATAAAGGGCGAAGTTCAACTCGGCAGCGGAGAGTGCTACTCTGTTGTTCTTCAACTTAACACTGAAAAATACCTATGCGTACCTGTTGAATGATACAAAAAAACAATGTATTCTCCAAATATTCTCCACTTAGGCCTATTGAGTATTGTACAATGAATCAAACAGTCTACGTCTCTGATAATGTTTTGCGGATTAATTTTCTGCTTCGTCAGATCTATAATAAATATATATTTTGTTTTATTTGTGTTTTCCTCGCCTACATTAATGTATATGCTGTAGAGTTCAAGTGAATATGAAATGGTTGTTTTCTGAGGTTTTAATATTACTGTGGAAAAAATGTTTTGGCTTTCTACTTATCCATCTTCATATAAAAAAAGGTGGGAATCTTCCAAAGAAAGGAAGTACGCAATTAATTTCAAAATAATCTCTTTAGAAAGATGTGTAGATAATGCAAAGAAGTAACTTTTGAGGAGACTTTCGTATCGTTGCATGATTTGATACTGGTGAATATAAAGACGGTCTACATGTTTTTCTCCACCACACATTTCAAATCTGTGGTGCCTTAAGAAGTTCGCTTCCATTAGGGTTCTCATTTGCCCCAACACGGCACATCCAGAAGGTGTTCATTTTACAGGGTAGCTAAAGAACCTCACTGTACAATGTGGTAGTGTACTGTTTACCAGGTTGGTCTATATGTTTACCAGGTTCACCTATACATTTACCAGGTTGACCTGTACCGTTTGCCAGATTGGCCTATACGTTTACCAGGTTAACATGTACCGTTTGCCAGATTGGCCTGTACCGTTTGTCAGGTTGGCCAGTACCGTTTGCCAGGTTGGCCTACGTTTACCAGGTTAGCATGTACCGTTTGACAGGTTGGCCTGTACGTTTACCAGTTTGGCTTTTACCGTTTGCTAGATTGTCCTGTACGTTTGTCAGGTTGGCTTATCCGTTTGCCAGATTGGCCTGTACGTTTGACAGGTTGGCACGTACTGTTTGCCAGATTGGCCAGTACCGTTTGCCAAGTTGGCCTATACGTTTGTCAGGTTGGCCTATACGTTTACCAGTTTGGCTTTTACCGTTTGATAGATTGGCCTGTAGGTTTGTCAGGTTGGCCTACACATTTGCCAGATTGGCATGTACGTTTGACAGGTTGACACGTAGTTTGCCAGATTGGCCTATACGTTTGCCAGATTGGCATGTACGTTTGACAGGTTGGCACGTACTGTTTGCCAGATTGGCCAGTACCGTTTGCCAAGTCGGCCTATACGTTTACCAGTTTGGCTTTTACCGTTTGCTAGATTGGCCTGTACGTTTGTCAGGTTGGCCTATACGTTTACCCGTTTGCCAGATTGGCCTGTACGTTTGCCAAGTTGGCCTATTCGTTTGTCAGGTTGGCCTATACGTTTACCAGTTTGGCATGTACGTTTGACAGGTTGACACGTACTGTTTGCCAGATTGGCCTATACGTTTGTCAGGTTGGCCTATACGTTTGCCAGATTGGCATGTACGTTTGACAGGTTGGCACGTACTGTTTGCGAGATTGGCCAGTAGCGTTTGCCAAGTCGGCCTATACGTTTACCAGTTTGGCTTTTACCGTTTGCTAGATTGGCCTGTACGTTTGTCAGGTTGGCCTATACGTTTGCCAGATTGGCCTGTACGTTTGCCAGATTGGCCTGTACGTTTGCCATATTGGCACGTACTGTTTGCCAGATTGGCCAGTACCGTTTGTCAAGTTGGCCTATACGTTTGTCAGGTTGGCCTATACGTTTACCAGTTTGGCATGTACGTTTGACAGGTTGACACGTACTGTTTGCCAGATTGGCCTGTACGTTTGTCAGGTTGGCCTATACGTTTGCCAGATTGGCATGTACGTTTGACAGGTTGGTACGTACTGTTTGCGAGATTGGCCAGTAGCGTTTGCCAAGTCGGCCTATACGTTTACCAGTTTGTCTTTTACTGTTTGCCAGTTTGGCTTTTACTGTTTGCCAGATTAGCCTGTACGTTTGACAGGTTGGTCCGTACAGTTTGCTGGTTTGCCCTGTACCGCTTGCCAGGATGACCTGTGTCTTTCTGATATAAACATCGTTTTTTTCTTCATCACAAAGGATAATGTTTACAAATAAACATTCAATTTTCAGAACAATAAATAATAATCATTAATTTGTTTCACTTTTCATTCATAGATATAAGTCCCTACTGGTTACATATTGAAACCATAGAAAAAAAATCAAGTCTGAACAAAAATAAATAAATATTACTGGAGATTTATCTCAAGACCGAAACGTTATTTTTAACACCGCGACACGTGTTTCGATCACCAAGTGATCATCTTCAAAGAGGAAGATTAAAACTTTTAAAATTTTCTATGTTCCTCTTTGAAGATGATCACTTGGTGATCGAAACACGTGTCGAGGTGTTAAAAATAACGATTTGGTGTTGGGAAAAAACTCCAGTAATATTCATTACTACACCAAAGGTTCCAAACAGTACATCCCAAGAACAAAAATAAATTGAATTGGTTTAATTCAGTTTTTTTTTCTGGGAACGAAGGGTTAAACTAGAAATATCTCCGGAATCTTGTATTATCTATTAGAAATCTGTTGTTCTCTTTCAATATGTTTTTCCGTTTAACAGCTGTTATCACCTACGAATGACAACCCCTCAGAAGTCCAAATTTGTGTGAGCTAATGTAAATAAATAAATAAAATAAGAGAAATAAAAGATAACATGACTCATATTTTATTTACACGTGAAATGACGAACAATCATGCGAAAATATGTCTGATTGAACATTAATGCATCTCTGACGGAAGAGTATATGATTCTATTAAAAATTTCAATGTGTTGTTTCATTGAAAAATAGATCAATTTCAATGATATGCTTTCAAGACTTGACTTTCGTCATGATCATAGTAATGGATTTGTAATACATTTGAGGTGTGTAAATATTATTGTAATTATAAAACCGAAGAGAATTGGGGGTGGGAGCCATACTTCAGACAAACACAGCATTTGCAACAATTACATATAATGTATAGTTTTTCCTAAAAAATCTTAAAATACTGAGTAACTCTAGCCAGTAAACTTATTTGTACTTGCTTCATAAGTTCATACAATGCAGGATCACGAGTAACTTCCTAGAAAATTACCCTTTTGAACGACCAACAGATTGAAAATAAACAGCTCAACCTCCTGGTGGGTACAAACTCCAAAACCCGTTCATTCCCCCTCTTCAAACTTGATATGCTGGGCCCTATTCTTCTCGGCTTTTTTCAACAACTTGTTCCTCCCCCTCAGTTTCTTTGTGCTCTTTGCGAACTTGACGTTCCTGTCGTTCTGGATTTTTTCCCAATACACTTTCTCCTCGTCATTGTGCAATACTACTTTCTCCCCTGGAAAATCTTGGTCTGTAAATTCTCTGGCGCTGTCCGAGTTGGAGAACCTCACAAAAACTTCTTCGCTGCCAGCCGGTAAGGGAACGTCCACGTACTTGACCTCCGATGAGAAGGCTTTGATTTCGTTCTGGAAAAAAGTGCAAAGTGAATTGCTTTACTTTATTGAAACTTGTTACAAAAATTGTCAATGGCACGGCGACAATGCTTGTGTCCGTGTTTTCCGTTTTATGTGTTTTACTTACTATCTTTGTGTGTTGTTTTGTCTGTGTTGTGTGGGAGTTTTATTGCTTGTTTCCTATTTATTACTTTTTTGCATTTTTGTGTCTTTTGTGAATTGTGTTGTTTTGTTTTTGAGCTTTTTCGCGATTTTTAGTTCTTGCCTTTCTGGCGTTTTTTGTGCTGTGTGTTGTTTTCTGTGTCTTGTGTTGACTGTTTTGAGTTTTTGGCTTTTTATGATTTTTTCGTAGTTTTTTTTGGGGGATTTTTCGGTTTTGGTGATTTTTTAACGTTTTTTTTGTGTTTTTAAAGTGTTCTCTCTGTGTTGTGGTGATGTAAATTTTGTGTTGTGTTTCGTGTTGTGTGTTATATGTGTTGTAGTGTCTGTTTTGTAAGTTTTTTTCGTTGTTTTCTGGCCATTTTTGCGTTTTTGTAATGTTTAATGTGCTGTGTAGCTTTTCTCAGTTTTTGTGTTGTCAATGTGTTGTTCTTGTGTTGTGTGATGTAAATTTTGTGTTGTGTGTGTTATGTGAAGTATGGTTTTTGTGTGTTTTTCGTTTCTTAGTTTTTTGGCATATTTTGCCTTTTTGGAATTTTTGCATTTTGTTTATTTTCCCTCTTTTGCATTTTTTGTGTTTCTTATATGGAGTGTGTGTTGTTAGTTTTATGTTTTTGATCGTGTATGTGAGTGTGTGTTGTCTTCCGTATCGAGTGTAGTGTGCTGTATGTTGTGCTGTCTGTTTTGTGTTTTTAATATCTATCTTTTTTTGTTTTTTTCCTAGTTTTTTGGGTTTTTTTGTTGTTCTTTTGCTATTTTTGCGTCTTTGTCATTTTTGTGCGATTTTTATGTTTTTTGTTTTAAATGTGTTCTGTGTGTTAGGTGTTCTGTGAAGTATACTGTGCTGTGTGTGAGCTTTTTCCGGTTTGTTTTTTGTTTTATTTTTTTGTAAGTTGCCGTTGTTTTTGTACCTTTTCGCTTCTTAGTCTCAAGAAATAAACTCAATATTCCTAGTCTTTTTTTGAAATAGAAATGTGCAGTTCTGCCTAGTGATACGTTTTCAATGATACACCCTGTATTTTCTGCTAATAATGACACCTTTCGATGTTTTGATGAGGATGATAGGGGATGCACCGTTTTATATTTCGTTGTTGGCAATAATGATTTGCCATAACCATCAATGTCATTTGTCAAAATAATTCATGATAACAATTGATCTACTAATTTTTGAATTATTTGATGTTCTCTGCACAATAAACGAAAGGTAAACAACCAAAAAGAATAGAAACATATTAGTTTGATTTTAAGTTTGAATTATCGTCACAAATGACAAGAGATTCATAAAAATTTGAATCCGACTGTATTAAAATGTAAAAAAACTCTCTCACCTTCAACTTTTTGGCATCCATGCAAGGTTCTGCCAACTTCAACTTGACTATAACACCAGGAACGTACTCCAACTTTACGGGTTCCTCCTCTCTCTGGGGCATCTCTTCCACCAACTGACCAGCTTCTTCTTTTAGAGCTTTTGTTCGTATGTGTCCTTTCGCAGAAAACTTCTGTCTGTTGAGGTACTGCTTGAACTCTCTCATCTTCTTCCTCTGCAAATCCAGATAGCGATTCCGCATTTTTTTCCATTCGAATCTACAAAGGGATTGAATTTTTCTCATCAGTAGCACATACATCGCTTTGAAACTGTACAGGTTTTTTTTTGTACAATTTTGTATGTCAATGTATAACCATTAACATTTATCCTTTTAGATATTGCTAATGTTTCCCTAACCAGATTCAACCTTTTTTTATTTACGGTGTAATTGATTTCCTCTTTTATTTATTACCATATGTGATGGAATTGACTGATACTTGATGAAAATCCATAACGTGTACAAGAAACACTTTATTGTGGGATTTTTACGCCACAGTGAAACTTGTTTCGCTAAACAATAGCTTTCTCAAGCATTTTTAAGAACATATAGAAGATTTCTCAAGCATTTTCAAAAGTAAACAATAGCTTTCTCAAGCATTTTCAAGAACATATAGCATTGTTTTTCAAGGGTTTTGATCGGTTCAACAAATTACCTAACGCAATTAAAAATAGCCCATCCCTGAACATGTTCAAAAATGAACTGAAGAAATTTGTTTTAAATGCACAAATATGATATGTATTATGTATTTGTTACCTGTAGCTGTAATTTGTATAATTCCATTCATCTAATGTTCGTTATAAATTTCAAAGAATTATGTAATTTATCTTTCTACATGTTGCATTGAAATTTTTCGAATGTATAATGTTGCTGTTTTTGTAGTAATGTCTTTAAAAATATTTTATTGAACTTATGTTTGTCATACATTTAAGTCATTTCTATATGTAACACATACCTTTTTTTTATATCTACCATTCTAGTTGATTTGTATATTATTAGGATATCCTATTTAAATAAAGATCTATCTATCTATTTTCAAGAGTATACAATAGCTATATATGAGAAGTTTTTTTTAAGGATAAAACACAAGCACTAAAGGAAAATCCTTAAGGTGTTCTCAGAGCGGTGCCTGTGCGAAACTAGCGTTTCACGTTGGATTTGAATCGCTGGAGATTAAATTTATTTAGAAAACCGTTTTCAGGAAGTTTATTTCACATAAACGCTGTGAAAGAGTTCCCAAACAGTGAAGTGCGAGGTGTACTGAGTTGAACCTCGAAACGATGGGCAGCCACATTCCGTCGCTTATTTCTAATATGTACCGCTCTTGGTAGAAACAATGTGCCAAGTCACTTGAACACCTCCCTTGAAAGTATGTAACGTGGTTGCATGAGTCCCTTGAAATGTTGATTGTAAGACGGATAATAATAATAATAATGAACGGCTTTATTTCAGAGTAGATTACATTTAAGTACTTTCATATTTTTTTATAGATTCATATGTGATATGCTTCCTGAATATTTTGAAGACAAAATACAATTCTCAAGTAACAGCAATACAAGAAATTCAACAGATATCCAATTGAAGAGATATACTACAAGTTTTGAACAAAATTAATTATTTTAAAAAGTTTTGCTGAATTAAAATGAATTAGTTGCCACTAGAAATAAAACATTGCGAAAATTTTGTAAAATTTAGAGAAATGTGTTTAATTTTTGTACAAAATAACATTGATTTCTGAAGACTTTTTAAAATTTTTATTCATTATTCTTATCGGCTTTTTACAAAGTTTACTTTAAAATAATATAATTCAATAATTCATGTTATCAACCAATTATAATGATCATCTGTAGCGTTTTCTTACATTTGTATTTAGTAGCTTCATAGCCAAATAAACTCACTATTATTAATTAGTAAGAGTAATTCACTAAACTTACATTTATATAATCATCTTCACTCATGTGTAAAGTCACCAAACATTCAAAAATTTAAATTACATGTTGAAAAGTTTTTTCTCCAACACAGTTTTTATAACGTTGAGAAATATGTTGACGTGTCAGTATCTACAACTTGTGAAAGAGTTCATATTCTCTCAATATTCTTCATTAGAAAACCAATTTTATTGATTGCATATAGTTGTAAGAAACCTATACTCTTTTTTTTTATTCTGTTAAATCTGTTTCAGTTGAAAATCTTTTTTCCGTTAACCAGCTGTCGCACCCCTACAAACGACAACTCTAAAAAGTCAAAACTTGTGGGAGTCAAATACCAACAAGCTAAGTACCAAAGTGTAATTCCTAACTGTAGTAGATAATTTGTCTTTGTAACTCCAAGCAAGAATTTCTGTATTTGTGACTCGCCATAAATGTACTACGCTTTGCTCAAAATATTATTATATCAGAAGTGAGAGACCAAAGTTCAAAAAAACCTTAACGAACTAGGTAAAAAACATGTTGAGAGGGAATGAAACTAACTCACTTTGATAAAACCTGCAGCCCAAGCTCTTTGATGTAATTCTTCTTCTTGTCTTTCTTCTGCTTCTTACTCTTTCTTTTACTATCCGTGTCTCCACCTTCAATTGTTTCATTCCGAGTTTCTGCCTTTGCATCTTCTTCCTCAGCTTTCCTAATTTCTCCTTTGTTTTCATCGATTTGTCTTTCTTCATCGTCGTTTTGTTCTTTCTTTTCTGAATGCCCATTATTTTCCACTAATAGTTTAATTTTCTTTGATTTGGATCCACTCACCTTTGGAGCTTCTTTGGCAACCTAAAATTGAGCATATTCTTTTCCTTTCCTGAGTTCAATAATAAAAATGAAGTAATAGAAATTAGGCAAACTCACAATCATCAACGGAAAATTAACACCCTATTACGATCTACTGTGGTCTTTCAGGAGTATTTGAATACGTTAATGTTTATTTGTAAATAAACATTCCATATCAAGTTTACGTTAATTGCTCTGTCACTTTTGATAATTCTTTTTTACTATACATTTTCATAAACACCAAGTCAACAAAAATCATATTACCTCATCTGCTTCTTCAGACAACTTTCTCTTCCTCGAACCACTATCTTTCTCATATGAGTCACTTTCTTCCGTCACACCAACATCGTCTCCATCCATCTCTTCAAACTTAGTTATTCTATTCACAGCCGGCTCCACACTATCTTGAGCTTCAAAAGTTTTTATACTTCTCAAGTCTTCCGGATTGGTTTCTGAGGGCATTTTACAACCGATGCTATCAAAGAAAGCGAGGGCGCTCTTAGCATCGGATTCTTTCTCAAATTCGATGAAAGCGAATCCTTTGTTACCCTTGTTGTTCATATACTTGGGTATCGAAACGTAATCGATTTTCCCAAAGTCTGAAAACAGCTGAGTGAGCCATTCGTGGTCGGCGTCCAGTTTTATATTTTCTACGTAAATGGTGCATTCGTCAACATTTTCCTTAGTGACCAAGGGCGTGATACGGCGGATTTTTTCTTTATCTTCGGAGAGTTCTATTATTTTGGATTTGCTGATTGCCTTACGAATATCGTCTATGGTACAGTTGAGTTTTTTGATTTTGTTGAAATCCATGAAGATTTTTAGGTTAACATCTAGAAATTGAAATCTGTGAGAATTTGGGGAAGTTTTTAAAACGTTTTGAAGGAATTGTTAACTTACAAGGATCTTCCTTTAGGAGTTGAGACATAAATCTATCTTTGGTGAGATTAGAGTTGCTAAAATAAAATTCCATTTGCTGTAATATTCGGTTATAAAGCTGTTTCTTTCGCTGTCTGCCTTTTTTGGAAGTTCCGGCTAATTCATATTCTCCTTCACCCATATTTTGCAGTTAGAAATAGAAAATATTAGTAAATATAAGAATTCAGAAGAACGAAGGAGGTTATTTTCAAATTCACAAAATAACAAAATAAAACACAAAACACAACTATTGACACAGAATAGTTCATTCTGTGAGTCACAGAACCACTTATCACAGAGGAAGAAAAAATCCTTATAAACTCTCCCTGTAGATGCCCTTCCACTGAACTTTTATATATACAGTTTCAGTGTGCCCTTCACATTTTAGGTAATAGTCGGTTAATGAACTTTGGATATTTTCTTCGATCTCAGATCTTAGTGCCAATCGAATTATTAAGAATACTCTATCTGAGTATCACAAGGCTTTATTCAAAGATCTCAGCTTTAAATAGTTTATGTTAATAATTTTGAAGGAAACTACGTAATTTTTTCGAACGACATTCCTTTACTATTTAATAATGGTAAAAATAATGTCTTTCAAAGAATAAATAGAAACATATTTTTCAACAAATTATTTTATTAATATGAAGCTTGAAATCAGTGTATCAAGTCACGTGTCACACGATAGTTCAGTTCAACGATACAAAATACCTGAATGAAGTAACACTTTTCTTGTCAACATTCTCATTCAAAGTACAAAATTAGTAAAGATGCATATATAATCTTACATATATTACCTACACTAAAGTCAATCATATTACAATTGAAGGGAACACATTTTCAAAATATTGGTTGTTAACGTGGTTTTCACAAAATATTGTGTTTCGTTTGTTTGTAAAAACAATAAATAGCGAACTTGTGACATTATTATCTATTCAAATATCTAGAGAAAATTTGAGGTTTCAATTGACCTTTCCATCAAAAATTAGGTTTCTTGAAACAAATCAAGGTGGGAGTCAAAATCAAGGTGCATATCAAGTTTAATTTTCAACAAACAAACGAAACTAAATCCTAGACGCAAACGAACAAACGTATATGCAATGTCAATCATGAAACACAAAATTAGGAATGCCAATAATAGGTACATTTTTAGTTAGATGATGCCGAAAAAAACATAGGTACAGTTTGTTCTCGCTGATCTTATTCCAGATCGAATCATTCCTGGTAAAAGTTATTAGCTGTTTATGCTCGACATCATTTAAGCGTATAGAGAGCTAAAGTAACATATATGGAATAAGATTATGCGAACAAAATGCACCTATTTTTCAAACTGAAAGTTAACGCATTTGTATAACTTCAAAATAAAAGATTAGCGATGATAATTAATCTATGAGTATATCACTAGTTAAATTTATCAAAAGTATCAGATATCAATACTCTCTCATCAGTCGAGTGGTTACTTTTAGAACCTAGCTTACACAGTCTCAGGAATCATATATACAAAATCTTCAAAATTACGACAAGTTTCAACCTAATAAAGTGATGCCGAACATAACAATGAACCCAATCAAAATAGCAAAGTATTGCTTGAGCCCGCTTTTCTTATCGGCTTGCAGGATTTCAAAAAACACAACGTAAAGCAGCGTTCCTGAAGCGAGTCCCTGCAATATCACAGATACTACGTCAGTGGAACTTCCTTCGACATTACTTAAGACGATCCCGATTCCTATACCCATAGGACTTACCACAGCGAAGGTAAATACGTAAATGATGACAAGGTACGTTTTAATGCCGGAAGTAACGAGTTCTACCCCAATACAGAACGCAATAACTAGTTTGTGCGCGCTCACGGCGCCAAACATGTACCAAACTGTTTTCGGAGATGATTCTAGGCCAACCGCTAATCCTTCAAATAGCTCATGGATGGACAGAGCAAGCACAACTAACAAACCTCGTATAATGGCCACCGTTGACGTGGCTGAATAGTCCAGAACGACGTGCGAGTGGTCTGCATGATGGTTGTGCGCAGGATCGCCGTTCAGATTCTTCTCGAACTTCGACGGTTCTAAATGTGGTACGGCTTCGCCACGCCTGATTGACAGGCTCCTTCGTAGAACAGTCATGTTTTTCGGCTTCTCTTTCATGTGCAAGTAAACATGTACACATTCCTCTACTAAATACATGACGAAAAAACCGATGCACATCAGCAGCTCCGCGTAGGGGACCTCAAAGTCTGGTGTTAGATCGAGCCTTTCGAAATTCTCGCTAACTTCCGGAAGAAGGTGGATGAAGGTCGTGCATAGTAGTACGCCACCACCTAGACCCAGGAGAAACTTGACGTAGACGTTGTTTTTTGCGTCCGATTCCCATTTGAACCAGCGGCTGAGTTGGATGGGGAGGTTGCCGATAATGAACGAGGCCAGGAAAAGACCAACCATGGCCGTGGCTTTGGCTGCTGTAGGGTTGCCGTCGTTCCCATCATGGGGGTCGTCATCGTCGTCGGGATGATGGTGAACGTGGCGTGCAACTCTCTCTAGTAAAATCTGCATCTGAAACGAAAACACCGATTGAATGTAAATCAAACCGACTGTGCCAAACATCATAATGGCATTTATAGTTATAACTTTGGATGTATAGTTGCTAATTCTGAGTTATAACTGCTAATTATTTCATCAATTCATATAGTCACTCATATTTAGACAGCAAATAGTACGTATACATAATACTTATTTACAACTGTGACTTCACAGCTACGGCTTTAGTCAGTATGGAAACGCTTGAGGGAACTACTGTGTAGCGAAACACTTGTTCCATCAGATGAGTTGGCTCTTACGAAAGTGATTACTTTCTGAATAAAAAATATCGCTCAAATGAAGAATATGAGGATCTAAATCCGAGATTGCAAAGAGGTAAGGCTATATTCAATTCAACAGAGATCATGGCAAAAAACTCTTTGACATCACAATGTAATGTGCTGATGTTTATTGGGCCTAACGAATAAATGCAATCACGCATGCAAGGAGTCTGTTGTCTATAGATTATTCTTAAATTTTAAAGTTATGAGTGTGAATGTTTGAAAATAAATATATCGATTTTTAAGGTCTACACTTTCCAGCAATTTTTTTTTTCATTCGATCCGTTCTAGTAATACATCCAAACATAATTTGCAGCTCCTTGACTTCATTTACCAAGTATAAAGAACAACTAGACAATCTACTCATTTGGAAACATCTCTGGGAAGTTGGAAAACTTTTCTTCTTTTACAGATATTTCAATAAGTGCTATTGCTATTATACTTTTTTGTACCTATACTCTGTAAATTGTTTTACCGAATACAAGTTAGCAAACCTAACAATTTTTATCTCAAACTGTCATTTGTCACGCAACACAACAATAGGGAAAACGCGTAAGTTTGAGTTTTAGAATATTTTGGCGATAACATGTACATTGGCTCTAAACAAAGTTGTGAAATTTGCTTGGAATTCAATTTAATTTCTTCATGATTCAAAAATGAAAACTCTGAACCTTCCAGAAACGTACCTTTAATGGTTTCTAATGCATGAGTATATCGTCGGTTATTATAATTGAAGCAGCATCAGAAGATAGAAGTTGGAAATAACTTTTCGATTATAATTGACCAATCATTACCGAAAACCATTTATGACTTTAATAAAGTTCTTCTAAATGTTCGTAAGACAATAACGAGTTGCGCTGGTACTTGAGGAACATCATTACAATTCAAGGTCAAACTAGAGTTTAAACTATTTTCAAATATGAATGGATGGAACAATAAAAACGTTACTTTTACTGTTAGATATTTCTGTGGCCAATATCAATTACTCAAAAGAATAAAACATTACTTGTACCTTCCATATATTGTTATGAAAGTAGCTAGCAGCATAGTATAATGCTAAACAGTAACACCTACAGCATCAAGCATAACATCGTGAAATCAACACGAAACTATGTCTGATTTATAACTCGTTGTGCAGTATGCATATTTATTTATGAAGAAGAAAAACATCAATTACGTTTACGATATCAACAAATATACCGAGAAAGATAGTACGACATGCCACTAATTGTTTTATTTTAGAAAAATGCAATGTTGTGGTGTAATGTGTTTACTGGTTTCAAGTATTCACATCAACTATTGCAAACGTGACCTCAATGAAGGTCGAATATTTAAAAATTACCGTCATCGCTGATGAATTGGGTTTTCTCTAAATTCATTTATCGGACATAAACTATCCGGGTGAGTCTCAAGGTATCATCTTGCACACTGCATTCATACAGGATAGTCCAGGAAATCTGGAACAGTGTTCTACAAACAAAATTCTTTTTGTATCGGACATTTTCAAACTTTGGAGTGAATATATGTGATGGAATTGGCCGATGCTTGACGAAAATCCGCTATGCAATAGCATCTTCGTATTGTGACAACTGGAGATGCTATTGTATAGCGAAACACATATCGCGGTTTTGTACATTTTTCAGGTGGAAACAATGAAGTAGTACTTGAATACATAATAGGTGAGCTGAAAAGTTTTTAGGATAACACACAGATGGCGCTACCCGTATTAAATCCACATGATTTTTAGTTAACTCTAACCTTCAAAAGAAACAAATTTCACAGTTGTCGGACTATTATTTTCTAGGATAGAACATTTTGACTGAAGCAAGTTTTGTTTGACGACAAAGGAGAAAAGGTAATGTTGTGTGTTAATACAGCATTGCTTTTTTGCGAAAAAAAATACTGTTGAAGCCAAGGCGGGGGGAACCTTTTTCCTTTTTTTTCGTAGAATTCAAAAATAATACCAACTATGAGAGATGGCTGATTGTTAACCTCAGTAAGTACACGTCACTAATATCGTGAAATTTATTGACACTAGGTAAGTGACAAGTAGAAGCATCAAATTGTTTTGGCGTGCAAACACGTTTGTATTAGTAACATTGTCTATAGATATACATCTTTAGACCGAAGCAATTTCGCTCGAATGAAGATGTTATTGCCGAAACTGTGGCCAATTTTGAGGCAAAAGATCAAACGTTCTACAAAAGTGGTACTGAAGTGTTAGAGCGGCGCTGTGTGGCTCTTGACGGAGATAAGGTTGATGATTAAAGTCAGTTTTGTAAAAAAAACGCGTTTTCCTAATCCCGAGACTTTTCAGCCCAAGTTACTATCAAGTTAATATGGATTAGCATATGGAAATGCTGAAGAAGCCCGTCGACTCTATCGAGGTCGATGTCCTGCCAGAGATATTCCAGCAGAATGACACCACAATTAGAGAAAATCACTCGAAAATTAGCTGCACAGTTCAATGCCAGTCATCGAAGTGTTTGGAAGGTTTTGCATACAAATTTATTGTATCCATACTACAAGCAACGGGTGCAGGCACTGTTACCGCGAAATTTTTCGAGAAAATTGGATTTTTGTCAATGGTTTCTTCAAAGAATTGTACAAAATCCCAATTTCACTTGTGGAGTTGATGATGCAAGTTTTTCAAGGGATGTCATCATGAACTTTCATTACAATAATTCTTGGACCTACCAGAATCCCCATGATAATGCAGAAAGTGGATCTGTATCTGTAGAGAAGGGATGGAGAGTGTAGGCCTACGGCCACATGTGACCCATTGTACATCCTCCCGAGGAGTTGTCCTCGTAGGTCATCGTCCATCCTGTCTTTACCAGGAAAGTGGCCAGGTCACTGGGAGACATCTTCTTCATATCGGCAGGTGTAGGGCAAGACTCGCCTAGCTGAACACACACACACACTCTTATTGACGATAACTCCGGACACTCGCATAGGACATGCCTGACAGTTTCATCTTCCTGTTCACACATCCTGCACAGAGGTGTGCCCACTAGCCCCGTATTATGGAGGCGTTTCCTTAGTTGACAGTGGCCAGTCAGAAATCTTTCTATTAAGCGTACATTTTTCCTGGTCATCGCCAGATATTTCTTCGGCGCCAGCTTCCCAGGATAGCCCAGGGTGATCCTGTCAAAACTGCATCCTTCGATTTCATCCCATCTCTTCAGGGATTGAGCAGGGGTTTAACGTTTGGCTAGTTCCGCAATTGTCGAAGTCATCAAGCCGTAGGTGCCACTGGGTCCTAAAATTCTTAGTCCAGCCGCTTCCTTTGCTGAAGAGTCGGCAAACCAATTACCTTTACTCCTGTCGCGCCCTTTAACCCACCTCAGGATAATGTTATTATCTACCCAGGCTTTGACTAAATCTTGGTGGCACTCTAGTACTAGCCCTGAGGTAACACATTGCCTGTTCAAGGCTAATAGGGCTTGTCTGCTATCAGTGCAGATTGTTATGTTTTTGCCAGACATTCCTTTCCTGGTTATTTTTTTTGGCGATTGAGATACCAGCCAATTCTGTTTGAACTACGCTGGTATTTTTTCCGATTCCCCACTTAATTCTTAGGCTTAGTGATCTGGAGAACACTCCACATCCTGAGCCTTCTTTGGTTTTTGAGCCGTCTGTATATATGCGTATTGCATTTGTAGCATCTGACTCTGGTTTCTATTTTATTTGTATTTTGTAGGGTTTATCAAACACAAACCTGGGTTCAATTGCATCACTGGTTGCCTGCAGCAGAGGTTGCGTAATGAGTGCTTCTCGCCATAGGCTCAGCCTATGACCCATTCCTACTTCGAGGTTTACACCAGCCATGCGCAATCGTAACATGGCCATTAACGCAACCATCTTAACGTACAGGTCCATAGGCAGTAGATTTCAGCAGGAATCGAACGTCAGCTACCCAGGCACTTTTCAAAGGCGAAAACCCACCAAAAAAGACCATGGTCCCTGTAAGGTGATCAGCGGCTGGAGTGGTTCACTATAACTTTCTGCAACCGGGCCAAACCATCATAACAGAGTCCTACCGTGAGGAAACCGACGAAATGTACCAAAAATTGCGTCAGCATTAGCTGGCTCGTTCCACGAATCACCGTCCGAAAATTATACGCCAATCGACTACCATCTTCTCAAGCACTTCGATAACTTTATCACCGGTAGAACATTCGCCAATAAGGGCCAGACAAAAACGGCCTTCGTCTACTTTATCGAATCCCGAGCACACACTTTTAATGCTGATGGAGTTAATTGAATTGTGTTACGTTGGCAAAAGAGCACTGACTCTAATGACGCTCACTTCGAATAAATCGAATATGTATTCACTGAGATATTACAGTTCGTAGTAGACTCATAAAAACGACAAAACTTTTGAAACAACGAAATTTTGCGCACAAAATTTGAAACGATCAGAAAAATTTTCATTCAAAAGTAAGATGCTGCTAGTTGAGAATAATGAACGAATAAATTCATGAATGAATGAAATCTCAATCAAATGTAATGAAGCTTAACTACACATCTAAATGAAAAACATTGTCTTACAACAGGTGCCATCGGAAAAGTCACTGTCAGCAGTCCCAAAACGTGGATTTCTGATGTCTACTCTTCAGTCAGTCCTCTAAATGCAGAACATATCGATTTTTTAGCAGTAGTAAACCATTGTTGCTCGGTTGAACGATTGAAAGATAATTTTGGAAGCGTATTTTATATATATATAATCAATCAAATAATCTTACAAGTAGACGCGTAAGTGCTGGTGGATATTTAAATCGATTTTGAAATTACTGTGAAGATAAAAGGATTATCTTCTAGAGAGATTTGTATATTGTTATTGTTCTCATTATCGGAATTGAAGTTTGCCATGGATTAGTAGGAAGGTTAGACTCGGTAGATTCGTTCACTTATCAGGGGGGAAAATTAAGTGAAAATAGCAGTTTTGCAAACTAAAAAAAGTACCAACGATGCAATTTTTAACTTTCTCTATAAGGTTTATAGTGATATAAAATCTGGTGCCTACACACCAGCCGCGTTAAGCGATTTTTCCAAGGCATTTGACCTTGTTGATCGTTGCGGAAGCTGAAACATTATTGATTTGGGCACATAAGCATTGGATGGTTTGAATAATAATTATTGCAATGAAAGCAATTTGTGAGACTTTCGTCCCGATGAAGTTCCCGTTATCGTAATTAAAAAGTGCGCCAATGAACTCGTACCAGTATTTTGCAGACTTTTCAACCTGTCTAACGTGGAAGGGCAAGAAAAATCATCCAAATTACTACAGACCAGTCGCTTGTTATCTGTGATATTAAAAATCATGGAGTCGTGAACCACCATATCCTTAAATATTTGAAAGGCTTTAACATCTTGAGTGATCAACGATATGGCTTTCGGAAACAAAGATCAACAGGCGACCTTTTATCGTATAACGCAATGGGGAATGTTCCTCCTGACGAAAATCAAGTAGTCTTCATAAAAGAGCTTTAAAACAACGCATTTTAAACTTATCATTTCAACATTTTTCTTTAAAAAATTATTTAAATACCTAAAAAAGAGGGATGAACATTTAAAGGGATTCGTTTCTATTTCACCATTTGGCAACATCGGTTATAGCTAATAAAGGACAATGAATCTGTTACCTGTATGAGAGGAACAAAGATGACATATTTCAAGAGGCGTGCTGTTCTGTTTACGTATGTTCCGAGTTCCGAGACGTTCTGTGACATGACATTTTGTGCACCTAACCTATCTTCCGCTATATAAATACATGACAAAACAACTGTTGTTTCTGTGGCTTGTAGAGGAGGTATTGAACTATAATTTATATTTTGCCTTGATTGTTGATTTATAAAGATAATTTTCCTTCTTTGAAGTAGAATATCTAGGTACGTATAAATTATTTCAACTTGATATGTTATATGCAAGGTAAAATATTTTTAGGAATGGCAAGTGAAGTTCTAGGGCACTGTTGCCAATATGTGAATTAGAAATAAATCAACGTTTGTTTGAAGGTGATTGACAATGTTTCGTGATGAATTTCACTAGTTCGGACTTCCATTGTCTATTAGATAAAATGATTTGAAATCCCTGAAACAAGTAAAAAAGAATAATTAAAAAAAAATAGTTGAAAATAACAATTATATTAAGCAACAATAAACCTGAAATGAAATGATAGTGAAATAACCTACAAGTAAAAATATAATAATTGAATAAATAAAA